AGATGTGTATAAGAGAAAGCAGGAGTGTCCCAAAGATGAGGGTTCTACAGAATATGAGGACTTTAAAAGAATTATCATAGATTCATTGGTATTGATGTTGTAATGCTCTTTCTTATCCGAGCCTCGATCGCAGTGGGCAAAGGCAACGGTGGTATTCCGTTGACTTTCAATAAGTTGCTAAACAGATGAAATAAAAGAACAAGTATGGTATCACAAACGTCAAATTCTCTATGAGAGCCAACAGACTATTTTATTAATGATTATACTCACAGATGAAGTAACCAGTACACTACAATTCAGTATTTCCGAGGAGTACCGGCAAGTCTCTCAGTTTCTGGAACGTCTAGGTAGGAACAAGACCGATATCAAGGCACCTTTCTACCCTCTGGATTTGGCCGGAACCATCTCGTGTTTGACATTAACCAATGAGAGCACACCTTTTGGGAGGGCCAATTCTATTCCGATAGGAGGTAAACATGGATGAGCACTTTCGTCACACATATTATGTCTAACAGGAGGTTAGGTCTACCTAATAGCGGGCCCTAATAGCCGCTAATATATTTCATGAACCATCAATGTATTCATCTTTGTAATAATAATAATAATAGATGGATTTATATAGCGCAAATAAACGAGGTATCTATGCGCTCAGGACTAGATGTTGCACTTTTCAATAACTTTCTCCTCCCCTGAGGATCACTTCATGTCCTCTGCAGCCAGTAAACCGGCGCATTTTCATCTGTCCGCGACAGTAGCCGAGTGAACCAGTACACCGGGGTTTACCCCTACTCATCTCGAAAGATGTACTGGGTTCTTTAAAGTGCACATGAGCATTTGTGTACACTTGGCCTAAGGTTTATAGTCCTTATCCGAGAAGACTTGTTCCACTACCAGAACTATAGGAGCGAGCTGACAGCGAACCCATGCCGATATTGTTGCTGGGACGGATGCAGGGTTTGGAGGTAGGGGTGCGTGCAAAAATTTGAAGAATTAGTACCTGTAAATGGCCGGAAATGACACATTTATAATAGTAAAATTCATCTTGTCATCATCACATCACTATATCATTATATAGGCCTAGTCAAAATGAAGCGCCAACATATTTTCATTTTTTTTATCGGCGATTTTCGGCAAACATCTAAGTAGTATATGAGATGAACCATAGAAAATATAAGTTAAAAACATTCTCTTTGATGTATTTACTTTACCTACTTCAAAGCAGTGAGCCCACAACCACCTTTGCCCCACCATGGTCGGGGCTAGGGTGGGTGAGAAAATTTGAGGAAATAGTATAGGCCTACCTTTAGATGGCACATTTTTATATTGTAAAATTCATCATGATAACACCATCATGTCTGATGAAGCGCCAGAAAATTTCTCATGGTATTTAATCAGGGATTTTCGGCAACCACAGAGATCTAATTATTATGAGTGATGTACTATAGAGACAAAAAACTAAAGAAACACTTTCTTTGATGTATTTAATTTATTTGACCTACCTCAAAGCTGTGTGGCCACATTCACCTCGGTCCCACCATAGTTGGGGCTAAGGTGAGAAAATTTAAAGCCTCTATGGCCGGAAATGACACAAAATTCTTCATCATCACCAAAATTATATAGTCAAAATGAAGCGCCAACAAATTCTCATGATCTTTCATCAGCTATTTTCGGCGCGGGCAACTACAGAAATCTAATATGTGATGTACGGTACCATAGAAAATACAACTTAAAAACATGACGTATTTACTTTACCTACTTCAAAACTGTGAGTCTACACGCATCTCAGCCCCACCACAGTTGTGGCTGAGGTGGTAAAATTTGGGGAAATTGTACCTCTAGAATGCCGGATATGACACTCTTATATGTAAAATTCGTTATTATCGATCTAATTTATTGCTGTGATGTACATAGTAAAACTTAATTGTTTATGATTTTACTTCTACTTTGTGCTGCAAACCAATTTTATCTTTGTACGCTTTTTCTCAACTTCTCAAATTAAAGGCACGCGCACTCGAATCGTGTATGATAGGTAATTCAGATGTTTGTGGGCAGAGTATCGGTATCTTGCTATAAAAGAAGATGTACTATGGCTGTAGGCCTACCAAGCTCTTTCGTTAAAACCTGAGTCATTTATGCAATTTATTTCAACAATTTTCAGTTGTGAATTATTTGTAATATTTTTAAGTTATGAGAGTGCAATTTCCAAGCACCCAGAGGTCCATATTCTCAACTTTTTCGCACCTTAGCCCCAACCATGTTAGGGCTGAGGTAATGTGGACACTCACGCACCAGTGGAAGCAGATCATCCCCTAACTTTTCATGAGTCAAGAGGATATGCCTGAAAATTGTTGAAATAAACTGCATAAATGACCTAGGTTTTAACGAAAGAGCGCTCTACAGTCAGAGTACATCTTATTTTATAGCAAGATGCCGGTTTGTCTGCCCTGACCACACGGCTTTGAGGTAGGTTATATAAATTAAATACATCAAAGAAAGTGTTTATTTAGTTTTCTTTTGTATGGTACATCAGTCATATTAATTAGAAAATCTCTGATTTAAAACCATGAGAAATTTTCTGCCGCTTTCATCTAGACTATATTTATGGTGTGATGATGAATTTTTTCAAAAGGCTAAAAGTCATTTCAGGCCATCTAAAGTTACTATTTCCTCAAATTTTCTCACCTCAGCCGCAACCATTGCTGGGGCTGAGGTTGACTCACACCTTTGAAGTAGGTAAAGTAAATACATCAAGGACAATGTTTTTAAGTTTTATTTTCTGTGGTACATCACACATACTAATTAGATCTCTGTGGTTACCGAAAGTCGCTGATAAAAGATCATGAGAATTTGCGCTTCATTTTGACTGTATAATGGTGATGTGATGATGATGAATTTTACTATATAAAAGTGTCATTTCCGGCAATCCACATGTACTTTTCCTCATTTTTTTGTACGCACCCCCTACCACCAAATACTGCATCCGCCCCAGTCATACCTTAAAAATCTTACCAATAATTCATATCAACAATATAATACAACAATTATTTTTCTTAATAGAATTTAGGGGGGGGGGGGTGCGCACCCTCTGCTCCCCCTGCATCCACCCCAGTGTTGGCTATGATCACGGTGCCACTGCTTTAACGCTCGGCCATTTGGCTCGCTCCAATTTTTGTATCGTTTTTTGTATCGTTGAACTGGGGCGAATGCAGGATCTGGCGGTAGTGAGTGCGTGTGAGTCCACACCAGCTCAGGCCCACTATGGTTTCAGGGGCGGATCCCAAAATGTTATGACTGGGGTGGGGTGTGGGGGTGGTGCATTGGCAATATGGAGTCGACGGCCACCTCAGCCCCACCACCACGAGGTGAGACAATTTTAAGAATAGCACCTCTATGAGCTCAGAAATGGTACTCAGACCGCAAAAATTCTCTTTCAGAGCAGTGTTTCGACAGAATTATTGGCTTTTTCCTGATACTTCTTTTCCCCTAGACGCCGTTCCCCTCACGGGAGTCGCGAAGGTCTAATCAAGGAACTAGTTCCAGATGAGGATTTGTGAGAGGTGTAGTGACCGGATCAGTAGTGGCGAAGGGATTTTCCAACGGGGCGTCCGAAGTCCACGATGGGGGTGGGGGAGGGAGGGGAGGCCGCAGCCGATTTCCCCGACGAAAAAAAAGTGGGCGTTGTCGGGCGTCGCTCAAAATTTCTCAAGAGTGTTGCAGGGCCGAAGCCCCCAGAAAATATGGCAATTTAGTGTTACAAAGGCATATTTAATTGATTTTGGAGTCTATTATATAATATGTACAAAATACATACATTTTTTTTTCTCCCGGACGAATTGTGCCCCCCCC